CCCTTTCCTTCAATTGTACAATTATCTTTCTCTCTTTATTCTTCCAGGGAAAGCAGAGTACGATATCTTAAGGAAGAAATCGTCGTTCGAGGACGTCACAGCTGAGAACGACGAGGATGCAGATTACTCAACGTTAGTAAGTATAATTTCCTTTATCGTTACTCAAAACAATTACGCTTGTTTAATTTTACACAAGGAGAAAAATAAAAAAAATTGTCTCCAAGTTATCTTTTATTTATCTATCTTTAATAGAAGCTCTTTTAGTGCAGGGATCGGTACTCGCAGTGCACCAGTGATCGGTGCAACGTATCGGCGATAAATATGACGTTCGAAATATTTCACAGTATCGGTATCGCGATTCCCGTGACTCCAATCAGAGATTACAGCGAACAAGCAATGTTCCACTTCGTATTTTTTCGTCAAATGACCAAGAGGCAATTGAATTTACACGTTTATTATCACTACCAGTCGTCGTCGTCGTAGCGTAACATTGTATCGTAACAATTGCAATTTATTCTGGAAAAGTTGTTTCATTAAATTCCTAATCGTTATCGTTTCAAGTATACTTGCATGTAACTGCTGGTTTTTTACGGATTTTCAATAAATTATTTCTTTGTTTTTGCTCCTTTTTTATAGTGTGATTCTTGTGATCGATCGATTTAGATTCGTTCTAATAACTTCTTTTTGTGCCATGTTCCTCATAACTGCATCCTCTTTTTGTAGTTTTAACCTACTTCGAATATGCCCCACGCTGTCTGTCGCAATCGATATTCTTGGACCGTGCCCTTTTACCTGTGCTCTACTTTTTTTTTTTGTACTCTCATTGAGACACTTTCGTACGTTTCCAGTTAGTACATTGTTCTATCGTGCACTTGAAACTTTTTGTTTGGTAGCGTCTGTTGTGACTATCTCTAATAATGCGGTTTGGAAAGGACAATTTTGAAGTATTTCTAAAGAGAATTTGTTACAATTGCAATTTTTGTAGTCTAATTGTAGTTCTTTCGTTCGTTTTCAATTACTAAAATATTCTATTATGCACTCGAAATTTCTTTTCATTCTGTGTCTGTTGTGACTATTTCTAAATTATGATTCCCAAATGGAAAATAAGAAAATTCAAAGTACTTCTAAAGAGACTCACAATTTCAATTTTTGTACTCTAATTACAATACTTTCGCTCGTTCTCAATTACTACATTATTCTATTAAACCTTCGAAACTTCTTTTCATTCTCTGTCATTTATGACTATCTCTGCATTATGGTTCCAACAAAAAAATTAAAAAATTTGGAAGTACTTCTAAAGAGACTTCTTACAATTTCAATACTTGTACTCCAATTACAACTCTACAGTTCGTTTTCAATTACTAAATTATTCTATTATACCCTCGAAATTTCTTTTTATTCTGTGTCTATTATGACTATTTCTAAATTATGGTTCCGCAAAAGAAAGATTCCAAAGCACTTCTAAATACACTTCTTCCAATTTCAATTTTTGTACTCCAATTACAACTCTACAGTTCGTTTTCAATTGCTAAATTAATTTACTATGCACTCGAAATTTATTCTGTTTGTTGTGGCTATTTCTAAATTATGGTTCCAAAAAAAAAATTAAAAAATCCAAAGTATTTCTAAAGAGAATTTCAATTTTTGTACTCTAATTGCAATTCTTTCCTTCCTTTTCAATTACTAAATTATTCTATTACACTCTCGAAACTTCTTATTATTTTCTGTCATTTATGACCATCTCTACATTACGGTTTCAACAAAAAGATAAAAAAGTTCAAGATACTTCTAGAAACACTCACAATTTCAATTTTTGTACTCCAATTACAACTCTACAGTTCGTTTTCAATTGCTAAATTAATTTACTATGCACTCGAAATTTCTTCTGCGTTTGTTCAAACTATTTCTAAATTATAGTTCCTAAAAGAAAATTCTGAAATACTTCTAAACAGAATTTCGTAGAATTTCAATTTTTGTTCTCTAATTGCAATTCTTTCGTTCGTTTCCAATTGTTAAATTATTTTACTACGCACTCGAAATTTATTGTGTCTGTTGTGACTATCTCTAAATCATAATTCCAAAAAACAAAAATTCCAAAGTACTTCCAAATATACCCCTTCAATTTCAATTTTCCTAAATAATTCCTTAACTTCCCTCTCCAATTAAAATCCCTCCGATATTCACCCAATTCGAACAAGTGCAACTATCTATTCTCCCCCAATTCTACCCGCTCGAAACCAGGAAGAAAAGTAACCCCCTAAAGAATTTCCTCCAGTTCCAAACTCCCTCTCAATTACCGGAAACGAGAAGGGAGGCACCAACTTTCGCCAGACTGCAAAAGGAGGGTAAACAGTCGGGTCAAAGAAAAGAAAAGAAAGGGAGAGAAAAAAAAAGTAGGCGAAACAATCGACTGGAAACGAACACATCCGTCAGTCTCTCTGTTTCTCACGAAGCTTTAACATCGATACACCGGCAATTAACCCCTTCCGCGATAACCATAATCCTCGACTAGTTGTTTCGTCCCGAACATATGCCTCGGTTCACACTGTATCGTTCGTTAATATTCCATCGAACGTTTTCATGGAAATTTCAGAAGGGACGAAGCGATGAAAGATCATCGCGAACTAACCGGCATGAATATTCAATCGTATCAACCTGTCGGGGCCACGATACCCATTATAATCAATTATTAAAATCCAACCCTTGCACACTCTATCGCTCTTCTGTTTCCTTCTATTTAACACACCGTCGATGCACACGCCACATATTCGTTCGAGCTTCTCCTGCTGCTTCGTCGGTGGCCGACCATAGACAGGGTATAATCTACTGTCTATAGACGGTCTATAGACGGTCGCTTCGCGCAGCCGGAAAAGCCGGACGAGCGGTAAAGTCGGAACTGGTATCTTGCACAATTTGTCGCGAGGAAGATTCGAACAAGTTCTCAAAAAATCTTGGGACAAGATGGGCATTTATCGTACTCGAAAAAAATTCGTAGGGAAAATTGCATACATTTTCAATTATTAGATACAAATTACAATTTGCGTGTTTCTACAATTGGAATAGAGAATTTTTTAACGTATTGCAAGAAAATTGTACATATTTTCGATTATTGAAAATTCTAATTTGCGTATTTGTATAATCGAAGTAGAGAATCTTCTATCGTACTCCAAGAAAATTCTTAGGGATAATTGTACATATTTTCAATTACTGAAAATTCTAATTTGCGTATTTGTACAATTGAAGTGGAGAATTTTTTGCTCGTTCTTTCCGCGAGAAACTTACAGTTGAATATGTGTCATTCGAGAGTTTCCTAGTTTAGCTTTTTTGTTAGAGACGAATTGATTATTCACGAAATGAATTTCAATGGTTTAGAAGGGTTAGATAGGGTAGTTCTCTGTTGGTTGTTTTTATGTTGGTTTAGGGGTGCTTATTCTTCTGAGGTGTGTTAATGAAACGTTCGAATTTTTTTGCCATACGAACCCCTTCTGTCTGGAAACTTTGTCACATAGTAGCGCTCCGAGGCGATCTGTTTTTTTCTAATGGTTAAACGAACGGTGAAATTTCCACGAAAGAGTTATTATACTTTTAGAGCGGAACGTTCGATAGTTGTCGAAGCGTGATCGTTTAATTTGCCGTTCTGTGTTGTTTTTCTTGCTTACGATTTTCTGAAGCTTGGCTAATTTTTTCAGGAACATTCGAACAATTTCGAGTGTTTGTAATGAAGTCATTTTTAAAGGGACAAGTTATTAAATATCAAAGGAATTTTTTGTTTACGATTTGCTGAAGCTTTTTCAATTTTTCAAGAAATATTCGAACACTTGGAAGACTTTTGAGTATTTCTAAATACGTCATTTTTAAAGGGATGAGTTTTTAAATGCCAAAGGAATTTTTTGTTTACGATTTGCTGAAGCGTTTTCAATTTTTCAAGAAATATTCGAACACTTGGAAGAATTTTGAGTATTTCTAAATGCGTCATTTTTAAAGGGATGAGTTTTTAAATGCCAAAGGAATTTTTTGTTTACTATTTTCTGAAGCGTTTTCAATTTTTCAAGAAATATTCGAACACTTGGAAGAATTTTGAGTATTTCTAAATGCGTCATTTTTAAAGGGATGAGTTTTCAAATGCCAAAGGAATTCTTTATTCCGAATAAAGAATTTTTGTTTACGATTTGCTGAAGCTTTTTCAATTTTTTAAGGAATATTCCAACTTGGAACAATTTAGAATATTTCTAAATACGTCATTTTTAAAGGGATGAGTTTTCAAATGCCAAAGGAATTCTTTATTCCGAATAAAGAATTTTTGTTTACGATTTGCTGAAGCTTTTTCAATTTTTTAAGGAATATTCCAACTTGGAACAATTTAGAATATTTCTAAAGGAGTCATTTTTAAAGGGATGAGTTTTTAAATGCCAAAGGAATTTTTTGTTTACGATTTTCTGAAGCGTTTTCAATTTTTCAAGAAATATTCGAACACTTGGAAGACTTTTGAGTATTTCTAAATGCGTCATTTTTAAAGGGACGAGTTTTCAAATGCCAAAGGAATTCTTTATTCCGAATAAAGAATTTTTGTTTACGATTTTCCGAAGCCTTTTCAATTTTTCAAAGTAATATTCGAACACTTTGAAGAATTTTTAGTATTTCTAAATACGTGATTTTTAAAGGGACGAGTTTTTAAATGCCCAAGGAATTTTGTATTTCGAATGAAGAATTATTAATTTTCTCGATAGACATTTCTCAAGTACTACAATTATTCAAGAATTGTCCAACCTCGTTCGAGAGATATTTGTCGATAAATGTACCTATTCAAAGGAGCGTGTTTCTAATGACGGAGTTGTCTTCCATCGTAAATCAAGACAAGCTTTATCATGACGTAACGAAAATTATGATAACAGAAAGACAACGAATTTTTTGTTGCACCTGTCCTATTAAAAATTACGACGTTATTTACCGTTTATTTATAATCAATCGTTCATGACACGTAGCTTTTATCATCTGTTTATCACGTAGAATTCCACTATCGATAATTGTGCGAAGACGCTTTAGTTCCCTTGTTGGAGCTGTTTCCTTATCGAAGATAAAGGGGGTTTTGCTCCTGATAGAGAGCACAGCAGAAAGGATAATCTCGATGCGCCGCGAGTCATTCCGTTTCAGTATCGCGATAGACGTATTTCTGTCAACTTCGATTCTCCCTATCTCTGTGCGAACCTTTAAGACAGAAGATACTCGTAACAAATAGACATTTCGACGAAAATTCTCGACGTACAGTCGGTGTTTCGGTGTGTAAAAAGGTGAATCGATAAAACGAACCGAAGAATGTAAACGAAGAGGAAGAGGGGGACAGAAGTGTGTTGATTAATCTCGATCAATTTAAATATGGAGAACGACAGAATTGTGAATTATGAAACGACCCAATGACCTGATTCGTTTACGACTAATTATGGGTGATTATTGTTTATCGAGTGCAACGTAATAACGTTTGAACTAACGATCGGGAAATGAACGACAACAAGAGGCGATCGACGCAGTTGACGATTTATATCTGTCCGTCGACGTACGAGCCGAATGCACACGCAGAGCAGCCTAGTTCGTGGTATAGTTGGATCTTCGATGCACTGTGCGGAAGTGTAAGGAAAAAGTGGTACGCGAGCAGGAGCAACGTTCACGAGAACGGAGGAATACCTTCGTCGCTTGTGGTCTCCGAACAGGTACTTAGTAATCGGGGAAGAAGAAGCGTTTGTGAAACATAAATTCAAGCTTATTTCGGTCGCTGTAATTGGTGAACAGTATGCAATATTTCGAATATTTAGCGTTTCAATGTTTGAGATACTTAACGTTCAAGTATTGAAATAATGAAAATAATGAAAATTGAAATATTAATTTCAGATGCTCGATATCTGAATATTTTCAAAATTTAATACGGAAATATTTGAGAGCTTTAATATCGAGATATGTAAAATCTAAATATTTGAAATATTAATTTGAGAACTTTAATACTGAAATATTCAAAATATTTCAAATCTAAATATTTGAAATATTTAAAATCTGAATATTTGAAATATTTAATATTTGAATATTGAAATAAGAAAAATAGAAATATTAA